GGATTCCAAGCAGCTTTCCCTTAACACACTAGATTTTGTTTCCTTCTTCCTTGTGTACAAGGGGTAGAGTGAAGAAACACAAAGACAATTTAGGAGTCCTGCCTTCTGGCATAACCTGCTTTAGCTGTAAGCTCATGCAGCCTGTCTACAATGCAGTTTCCCATGGGTGCTAATTATTCTGAGGTGTGCCCCATAATTGCCCAGGTTGGAGCGTTTTAATGAAGCTGTCTGGCCGCTCCCAAGTCAGGATATTCAGCAGCAATTCCATGTGCTGAGTGTAGTAATCGTGGGATCCCAGCCTGCCCCAGCAACGTGACAGAGCATGAGAAGAATGGCAAAAGTGTGTCCACATAGATTAAAGGGAGCTAGGCAGAGTAAAGCCACTCTGTGAAAACTCTGAGCAACTCCAGGGGGCCTACACGCTTTTCATGTCACCTTCCAGCCTGGCTGGTGTTTCACAGAAGGCAAAGGTTGGGGCATGGGCCAAACAAGAGCATAGGGTAGATTGGATTCTTAGTCTGAGCTCAGAAGGAAAGAATCTGGAAGGCAGACTTTCATTTGATTGGGATGTTCTCTTGATCAGGGTTGATGGGAGAAAGGGATTCATTAAAGGATGCCCAAGTACTGACAGTCTGGCAAATTGCCAGAGGACTGAAACTCAGGTTCATTTGCAATTTTCTGAAACGACCACATTTTCAAAAGCCAGGAACATAATCTAAGAATAGTGAAAAAGCTAGTGTAGTAGAAACCACAAAGTCTGTGCATGTTTGGGTATAAATGGCAGATGTGCTTTTGATCAATGGGCATGTGTATCTCTCATATTTTATCCAAAACATCAGCTATATTATTTTGGCAGGACAGTATTTTGCTCTGTTAAGGACTATATGTGTACTGTGAAACTAGAGAGACCAAGAGGTATGCCTTTTACTAAAAAAGGCAAAGGGAAAGTCTGTGAAACCAGAAGAGACAAGATAAAAAAACTCCATGCAAATAAAAATATTGCCTCATCTATTGTCAATTGCTAGCAGACAAAGAAGCTGCACTTCATCTAACTGAAGGTGCAAACACACTGTCTGTGCTCTGTCCCCTCCCTCTCCCCTTCCCCCCCCCCCCCCACATGGCACCCCAGCCCGTGAGAATGTAGGAACTTCAGCAGGTGCCGGATACAGGCTGGTTCATGGTAAGGCGGAACAAGCCATCCGCTTTGGTATCCTGTCTCCAGGGGTAGCTGATACACAGGAAATCAACCTGACTTCATTTGGTGTGCTAGACCCGCCTTACTCCACAGCCCCCATATCCTGGCTTAGATTTTTTCCTCCTGTCCTTCAGCTTGTGCCTTGGGGGGTGGAGGGAGTTCAGATCCCTGGCAGAGTCACACTGTGTGAGTGGGAGCCATTAGCTATGCTGCCTTTGTTCTGCTGGAGATGTGCTTGGGGCGTTATCAAAGACCCTTCTGTCTATTCAGGGGTGGGGGGGGAGTGTCTTGTACAGGCAATGGCGTGACAGGGACAGGGCTCCTAGGTGCGAAGCAGAATCAACTGGGTTCTTAGTAGGTTTCCCACACCGAACCAGAGCCAGTAAGCTAAAGAGAGCAGAAACTGAAGAATTTACATACATCCTAAAAACATAAGATTGCAAACAGGGTAAAGAAAAACTGCCAATTTGAACCCAGGTATCTCACACTTTACTGAAAACAGGCTGGGTCATATGTTATAGCCATATAGCATGACTGTGACATACGTGAACGACAAGAGTTTCTCCTTGTCGTTCTGCCTGCATATATAAACAGCAGCCTTCTGCTGAGGCACATTGTGGCCCATTTAGCCCAACAGTATCTGCTCTGACTGGCAGCAACACCTCAGATTATGAGGCAGAAACCTTCCCACATGCTCCTATGTTCCTCAGAAAAAATTCCTGACTTAAAGCAGTATGACAATGGAACCAATCTAGGGAGGTTTTGGCTCTCCCACTAGAGGCATTCAAGATGCAACCAGACAGCCATCTGAGAGTGATGGTTTAATTTGGAGTCCTGCACTCAGCAGGGGGTTGGACCCAAAGGCCCTCTGGCCCCTTCCAACTCTACTATTCTATGTTTCTGTAAGTAACGTAATACTGCATTATGTATGGATTCAGGAATAATGGAAATTACTGGTGGTACTGCTCTCCATTATTTTCAGTGGGCTCCTGGGCAGCAAGGAGAACACATTAAAAATAATGCATTCCAAAACATAATTTATTATAAGATTAAACTGTGTATACTTAAGGTATCTTTCATATCAGGAAACAATGGTTTTTGGAATAGAGTGCAATACTGGAAGACAAGCTTGGTTGCAAGGAAAACCTTCAACAGAAGGCCTTACATCTTGTTTAGTGGTCTGGCAAAGCCAGGCCCGTGGTCCATCAAGCAAGCTTGATCCTTGACCTTGAGAAAGAACACTTGTATGCATTCTGCCTCTTACGCCACAAAGTTGCTAACAAGGTTAACTGCTGGCAATTGTTCCTGGTCCTCCTATTTATTTATTCTGTCACTTTCTGCATGCAAAATGTTATTGCAGTAACTTTTTTGGAAGTCAGTCCATGACGCTTCATATGTACAAAATAGGCAACTTCCTTTATTGAGTCCTCATGGTAATGGAAATATTATTAGGCTATCATTCTGCACAGACTTCATTGTCAAATGCGAGTTCACATCCTTGCAATGAACTTTAGTAGTGCATAGAATCTACATATTTCACCCAGATTGATTCTCTGAAAAGCTTGTCACCTCACTTCAGTCAAAATATGCACTGTTCTAGAGGTTACAGGTAACTATATGAGAGTGGGTCACAATTAGATAAGGCATTTTAGACTTCTACAAAAAATACCAATTTTAATCTCAAAAATGGATGCCTACTATTTGCTTCTTCATACTTTCTGTGCTTAAATCCAATACACACACTCCCTTGTATACTAGGGAAGGAGCATTGCAAAGTATCTTCAATTCCCTGCCTTGATTTTAGTCATTCTCTTGCTCTAACTTGTCTCATACTTAATCTGCACCCCTACTCCTCTCTATGCTGTACAAGAGAGAATACGGGCCCTTCCACACCTCCGACTTAAAAGCAGCATGAACACTAACAGCCTACAGGCATATGGGTGTGCCTTCTAATCCTAGCCAGGCTTTTTACATTGTTCACTATTGCAACTTTATGTTATGGAAAGCCAAAGATTGTGTCCAGGATCACTAGAATGCTCCAGATTTGGTTAGCAGCTTGATTACTGCATACAGAAAGCTCAGTCGACATAAAAAGTAGGATGTGGTTCTGTGCCCTTGAATGTTTTGTGCATGGGGTCAGCTGTGACAAATACTGAGTTTTCAAATGACTCATTGATGGGTGGAGTGGATTGTTGTGGGAAGAGCAACAATTGGGCAGAATTTGAGGCCTAGTTCTCACTGGGAATTGTACAGAGAAGCAGTCATGCAAGACCCACCTGCTGTCCCAAGTTGTACAAAGGGCCATCTCAAACTTTGTAAAAAGAAAGGAGGGAAGGAAGGAAGGACGGAAGGAGACAAACAAAAATGCTAGGAATGGCCAACATGAGGTAGTGTATTTTAGAAACCTCAAAACACTTCATACCCTTTGAGGATTTACTCTTATCAAAGGACTGGGGCAAGCAATCAAAAGTTTGCTGTAGAAGGAAAATTACCAGGTTATGGCCTCTGCGCTGGCAGCAGCTCAGATTACAAGGAGTGAATTCCTGAACCTTGAATCACTGCAGAGTTCCTTTAGCCCCTGGGGCCCCATCACCATTGATCTCACCCCACCTGCTTGCTCAGCTGTCTCTTGGAGCATCCACCAAAACCTAGTTTTCTAAGTGAATTACTTCACATATATTGGGTGCATTACTGAGCCTAAATGCTGAACCTTCACATTTTGGTACAATGAATTAAGAGGCTTGCTTACACTCAATAAGCTACTTTGCATAAATGGGCTACCCCATTTGTCAACATCTATTTTACTGTCTTTAATGTTAACCCTTCTTGCTTCAGATGTCCTGAGGCTGACTTGCGCACACACAGAATATCACACTGGAATTGGAACCAAGAGACTACTACCACTTCATTGGATCAAATGAATTAAATCCTTCACCTAGTATATTTGTAGGCACACCTAGTATATTTGTAGGCACCCCATGTTAAGTTTCCATTGGACAGCACAACACAGCCTTTCTTGGTGATCTGCAATGGTATCCAATGGGTCCAGTCTGCCAATCTGTATTGTGCCAACAAGTCCTTATGAAAAGGTTTCCATTACATGATCCAGGACTGCAGACAAGCACATGCTCCCTTTGGGAATTACCTCGATACTGCAGCTGCTAATGTTTTGCAAAGCACACACATAACCAAGATCAAGCTTCCCAGCACTGTCCAGTTGGCTACTGGCCCACGTTTATGAAAAGGCTATTTTTAATAATCATAAACAAGTTTACAAGCTGTGTTATTGGAGCTCTAAATATATGCTTCCCATGCCCTCACACCCATCTTGAAACCACACATTGTTATGCAAGTCAAGCCACTTGACCCAAGTTAGCTTGTATGGTGTAATTTGAAAGATAGCCCTAACAGAGATGGACAGTTACATAGTCCGAAGTAAAGCTCAGCTTGTTGAGAATTGCTCTTCCCATCCAACAGTATAATTAAGGTCTTGAATTCTCAATGAACTGATCTGTAAAGGTTTCTGAGGAACATGGTTAATGCCATATACAAAAGCTGAACCCGAATCATTTCAGATTGGAACAAATGCCATGTATAATTGCTTGCAATCCTGACCCTTCAAGTGATTGTAATGTTCTCTGATGTTCTCTAGTTAAATCCCCTTCCTTTAGTCCGTACTATTAAGAGACCTCAAGCACAGGATCTGATATTTGAACATTAGTCCCTCTCCCTTTGTAAGAGATATGCAACCATTTATGAGGTTCATCTTTGTTTTACTGTAGTAAAGAACTCAACACCACAGGAGTAAAAAAAATCAAATGGTCTTTATTTCACTGACCAAAAATATTAACACCATGAGGGTAAGAAACAGAACCAAACAAGCCTGTGTTTTTGCCCTCTTCAAGGCAACAGAAGAGAAATGCAAAGTACATACAGTCAACATTACAAAGAACCATGACAGTGAACAATCTAGTGCTAGTTTTGAAAGCCAGCATTTCAGAAACACATTCTCAAGAGGTTTGTTTGTAACTCAAAAGTTAGAACTTGCATCACACACATGCTTGACTTTAGAAGGAATGAGATGGCATACTAGGTACATCCAGGACAATAGCAACTGTTTCAAACATTTAAGACCAAGCAAAAGAAACACTGCATGAACAAAAGGCAAAAATGGTGTTGAGGAATTCCATAAAATGATTTACTTTTAGAGACAAGCCATTGAAGAAAACACACCAATTTAAAGAATTAGAATACAAGTTTCATTGCCCACATACGTCTTAGCTGGGTGAAAATATGCAAGCTGGATGTGGAGCGAAAAGAGTGTGTTTTTACACCTATGTTTCTCATCACTGTTCAATGTGTGTCAACAGCTTCAGTCATCTAGGAAAACCACCAGCGAGCCTTTAAGGTGAATATCTTAAGAAAACACCACTCATCTTCCTGTCCCCCGCCCTCCAGTCATTCAGAGCTCCTCCCACACCTAAAAAAAAAAAAAACCCACACATCAAGCCACAGGCACACACACACTCACTCTGCTAAGGCAACATGAACAGGAAATCCCCTGTGCTTCTGGACCCAGTGTAATGCAAATGCTGGTCATATGAGAGATGTGTCATAACTGGTATGACTGGTCCAGTTTTTTCCTTCTATCCTCCTGTTCCTGCTCTCACCATACAAACATTGGCAAAACTAATCTGGTTGAGATCCTTCACTGGCATAAAGAGAAGGCCACTTCATCATCCTTAATTACTAGGTAAGAGAAACGGGGTGGCCCTGAGGAAAATAATGCTGGGTAGACTCCCCCCCCCCAAATGCTACACACATCTAAAGCGTGGGATGGGGAAAAGCTGTTTTTTCAACAGCTTGCAGCATGTCTCTCTCTTAACTCTTCAGGGGAGCTGCTCCAACTGCCTAACAAACATAATCCCCTGCAATCCCAATGGTGGGGGGAATTAAGGGGGAGGGAAACGTCAACCCAGAACTGGCAACATTTTTACGGACAAACACGTCATTATTCTTGACTAGCACCAAAATTAAAAAAAAACGTGTACCAAGTACAGATAGTGGTTTATCTCCACCCGAATCCGGATTGTAAAAGCCTGACTGGTTGCAGTTCTCCCTGTTTTCCTGGAGATTGTATGCCTTATCCGCCACCCCCCCAGAGTTATCTTATCCAACGCCACCGAGGTACTCGCTGGCGCGTCGTCTCTCGTTCGGGCGAGCTACTGCAGCGTCACAGGCCCGCTGCCCGAGTTGGGGCGTCCTTCTTCAGCAACCGTCTCTCCCACAGCCTTTTGTCTCGCCTTCTTCTCAAGCCACCAGAGCGTCTCTCGCCTAAACCCGGAGGGGGGGGGGGGAATGGAGGAGGGACCCACTCGCGCTGCCCCCCCGCCCCCAGTCCATCATCAGTCTCCCGCTGTGCGTCTTCCTGACCGCCAAGGCCCCGCCACCAAGCAGAGGGGGCCGACGGGCCGGGTGTGGGAGGCGGTGTTCGGCTCCTCCGCCGAAAGAGGAGCTTCCGCAGGCTCCGCTTCTCCGGAGAGAAGTTTCCAGCTACGAGTCCCTGGCGGGGGCGCTTTAGAAAGCCACCACAGCCCTCACCATTATGCTAAGCACGCCGTCGCCCTGCCTGCAGCTCGCTTTGGGCTCGTCGGCGCCTTTGGCTGGTGGGGGCTGGAGGATCAAGCCGGAGAACCGGTCCTGCAAGACTCGGGCTAAGCTCGGGAAAGGTCCCTCTTGCCGCTGTGGCTGCCGCTCGCCTTCCTCTTCCACCAACTTCGCTTTCTTGCTGGGCACGAGGCCGGCTTCCGCGGCGCCAATCTTGCCTAGGCTACTGCTGCGGCGCTTGCGGCTAGGTTTTGTGGCTCCCGGCGGAGGCCCGGAGGTGCCCCGGCCCCAGGCAGTCCGAGACAAGGGCTGCGCGGTTAAGCTGTCGCTGCCGGGCGCTTCCTGGGTCTCCATGGGTTCCGGGTCGGGACTGACAGAGGTCGGCAGCGCCTCTGCAGATGGCGGGCTGGGGGAAAGCCCCTCCTGTTGGTCCACGGGGAAAGGGGTTGCCGGAGGCGCCTCCAGATGTTGCTGGGCGGGCACCTCCTCCTGCATGTCCAGTTGCGGCTGCCGCCCGGCGAAGTCTTCCCCGATTCCGCCGCCCATCTCGTCCTCTTCCTCGAGCTTGGCGGAGAGGTAGAGGTCGCGGGCGTTCCGCATAACGAGGGACAGCTGCAAGCTGCGATGGAGCCGGAGGCCTCCGCGCTGCATTCTCGAGTGGTACATTTTCCACACCGACATCGTCATAATTCGCTGCGCTTCCTTCTGCACTTCCATGATGGCGGAGGGAGCTGGCCTTGGCGTGCGCCGAGACTGGAGCGGACTCTTCGGGGCTGTGCGTTACAGGGAGGTTTCGAAAGCCTTGCACTTTCTCCCCCAGACGGCGAAAGTGGCGCCCCCCCTTCCGCCTCCGCTTCCCCCCCCCCGAATGCTCACCTTCCTCGGACAAGCCTTCCTTAAATCGTCCGCCCCAAACTGATTTGGGCCGCGCCCAGCGCACTTGCTTTTATAGCCCCGGTGATCTCAGAGCGTCCGGGCCCTCCTCCGCCCACTCCGCGAGCCGCATCCGGCACTTCGCTGCGCGCCACTGGCCGCCCGCCCCGAAAGGGGGAGGGGTAGACGGAAACATCGGGGAGGAGGAAAGCGCAGAGTGGCCGGGCGCCAAAGGACTCGAAGGCGGCGGCATCTGCCCTGCTCGCAACAAAAGAACCTGGGACTTGCGCTGCTGCAACGCAGTCGCTGCACGACTGTCCAAAGGAAATGCATATACTGAGAATGCTGCGGAAATAATAATAATCAAGAGCGCATAAGCTCTGGCTGCGGAATAGAGCCATTCACTTCACTGCAACTGGAAGCAAATCACAAGGCAAGCAGAAACATGTCTCTTCTGCCATGCGCCCGGGGCTTACTGTCTGGTAAACAGTCATTTACAGTAGTTGCAACCTAAGTGCATTAAAGCTAGAATCCTGTAGCACTTCTAGGTAAGTGTTGTAGATTTGAATAAACACAGAACTGCAGTATGACTCGGGTTTAACCAAAAGTAGTGGGCCTGGCTTTAATGCACATTTAAGTTGGAGGACTGGAATGGCCTCATGCTTGAACTTCACTTGATTTCTCTGCCCTAGATTACATTGCATAACTGGCAATGAATATGTGAAGTGTCTCCAATATGAAAGTGGGAACAAAAGCTCTACCGCCCCAAGGCTTCGGCAAGGGACGGCATAGCAATGTTATAATAATAATAATATAATAATAATACCTATACCAACCTATTTGTACATATTAGTCATCAATAGATGGTTCAACTATCACATGATGAACATACTCTTAAATGTTTCCGTCTGCCATAAAATAACCACACACGTAATCTGAAATGGTTCTTGAGGCAGCTAACAATAGCCAACATATAAACTAAAAACTTAGTTTAAAAAACCATATAGCAAATATATTAAAATACAATTAAATACACAAAAATAAAAACAATGGCCTACCCATCAGACCAGTTTACAGCCCAAAGGCTTCCTCAAATAAAAACATACAATATTTGCCTGCTGGTAGAGGAACTCGATAGTAAAGACATCAAGTAATAAATATGGATGTGAACCAGCCCTGCAAAATGTATAACTGTACGTTCCTGCTTGTTTCCACAAGTGACATTTACAGCTCAATCCTGCCCATCTTATGGAAGGCATGCATAGAACAGCAGTCTTAAACTACTTTTTACAATTGCATAATTGAATAAAACTTAAATTGGCTAGAATGATCCCCTTGCAAAGGGGCTTATTTCAAAGTATGTTTAAAACGAACATGCCTATATTCTGTTCACTGGTAACAGTGCAGGAGTTAATATAGCAACCTCATGATTTGTTTGCTTTCTTGATTCTTATTGCGAATCCCAAAGTTACCATGATATTCTTCAGGCCATATCTGGGAAATAAGTGAACTGACCCATCTTTGCTTTGACAAATCATATTTCCAGGCAGTTCCTTAACAGTCTAGATTTGGAAACTGACTGCTATACAATTAAAAATCACATTTCACATCTTTATGCAGAATGATTGCTAAAATAAATACAAGTATATATATATATATATATTTGTATATTGACATGCACATATTGAGAGATATTTTAATTTCATATGTCATTTGAAAACTCATTAGCTAGATTCCACAACATCCTTCTACTGTTGTTGCAGATTGGTGCTTGCATTCCCCGTATCTCATCTAAAGTTGTTTACGCTGACTGGCTATAACATATAAAAAAAGCATTTGGATTCATGGTATTTCAAATATAATAAAACATGGGAGTTATTGTAAAAGACCAAAGAAATGCAGAAATTAAATATGGGTGCTATAGACAGAAGTAAACTGTGAGCAGTCTATGTCTTTGGAAATCTCTTAAGATTTTGCACAGTTAAATTATATGAGTGCAGAACCAGTACGTAAGTAAGCTTTGACTGTACAAACCTTTTACTTTGACTTAGCATGGGAAAAAAAGAGGCCAAACTGAGCAGTCAATCATGCAAGATGTTTTGTATACTTCCAAGGAAAAAGGTTCTCGTTTGTGCAAAAGTCTTTGCACGTTCTTACACAAATATGGGAGAATGCTGGGTTGCTTGGTGCAGCCCTAACTTGGGTAGAACCACAGCAGTGGCAAGCATTGTGAGCAAAACTGCAGCAATAGCATGCATGGGAAGATGCGCTAGAGGGTGGCTTTTCCTGCTTTACTGCTCTAACTGCCCAATCAAGGGGAAAAAATATGGTGATACGTCCTTCCTCGTAGGTAGGTAGGGGTGTGTGTGTGTGTGTGTGTGTGTGTGTGTGTGTGTGTGTGTGTGTGTGTGTGTGTGTGAACTTTCCCCTTTCCCCTCAGTTTTCTCGGCTTCTTCTCTGCCATTGTTGCCCAAAGTTTTGAAATTTTACCTGCCAGGTTGATGCATACTGATTGCCTTCAGTGAGCTTGCTCCCGATTGCATTCTTATCTTCACACAGATTTACTTGGCTCTGTTACTTACTGTGCATATTCTAAATGGGATAAACCTCTTAGGCTTTAGGATGCTCCAAGACTCCTTGCTGTTTTTGCTGCAACAACTAACTGGCCGTCTCTCTGAAAATAGCCAAACGGAATGTCACCGTTTTTGCACTCACATCGAGAGTTTACGGTTGCGACACTCGCGTTCGTGTACGTTACCATAAGATGACACTTAGCAACGGTTGCTCCTAGGATTTCTACTGATTTGACATGCTTCGGAGAGGCAACCACTCCGGTCACTGAGGCAGGCAGGACCTCTCAGAGCGGGCTCCCCATCTATTTTCCCTCCACGGCTCCCTGCTGCAAGAGGCTCCTCCTCCTGTTTAGGTCAACCCCGCCCCCAATCCCCGCCAATCCCCGCCCCCTTGGTTACCGTTTCCTTGCATGTATTATTGGCCCATGACGACAGGGGGAGGAGTCCAAGTGGCGTTTACCAAACGTTCTAAAAGTGCTGACGTTCGTAGCGGACCGCTTCCTGTGTCCATAAATGGGCAACGGGGCGAAAGGCTCAATTGAATTTCCGGGAGCTGGGCCAAGCTTTGGTTCTGTTTTGCCATCCATCTGTTTACACGCGCCGCGCCGCGCCGCAGCTTTATATATACGGGTTGCGCCTCTGAGCCCCGCTTCCACAGCAATATAATCCACACACGCACAGAGCTAGCAGCACGCAGCATTTGCTCATGCAGAAGCCCCTTCCTGGAAATTAACAGTGCACAACCCCTTCCTATCAAGATAACGCCTCCTATTGATTGGCTCATTCTGCCAGCGTTTACAAGCAACTTTCCCCGCTATCTGATCTCATCCCACCCTCCCCCACTACACATACACACGCACACCTCCTGCCATGGCTTGGCGGTAGGTGGGTAAACCCCGAACACGAAACTTCCGTGCGATCTCAAGATACCACTGTGCTTCCTTTTCCACGGGGGTAGCCGCCTTAATCTACTGCAGCAAAAAACAAAGTTTTGTAGCACCTTAGAGGCGAGTACATCTAACTTCAGCTTAAGCTTTCTTAGTCCACGAAAGTTTGTGCTAAAGTAAATGTGTTGGACTTTGAGGTGTCACAACTGTCTTTGTCGTTTTCATTTTCCTCTGATAACACTGTTGGGGCAATAGTACAGGGACAAATTACACCCAGAAGCATACGAAAAGATTGGCGTGCGTGTCACGCTAATCTCTCCCAGTCGTATTTTCTGTACGCACGTAACTCGTTTCTTGTTCTGGAGTACACGCAGGCCTATTCGATCTGCACCGGATGCAGCTATGCCCAGACCCGCAGACCGCTGCATAGCTGATCAGACGCAAGCACTATTTTGAGCGGCATGCGAGTAACTTGCGAGAAAACATTGATCGAATCTGGCTATGTGGCTCACGGAAACCAACCGAACAAATTAGTAGCGTTACTCTGCAGCCAGGTCGGCGCTGCGCCGGTCTCTCATGATTGCGTCATCCCCACGTTGAGTGTACACATGCCATCCCCCTCCCCCAGCGGCTCAGAGAGTTTCTGTGATCAAGCCTGCGCATGCGTGGGCTACGCAATCCGCTACGGGGACTCTAAAAGGAAGAGCATGAAAAAGGAAGTGTCTTTGTCTCGTGTTTAGAGCGCCGTCCCTGATCTATTAGACGCAGTCTAAGAACACCACTGAAATACCCACTGGCTTCACCTACGAGTACGCATGAACATGAGCGGGCATGTCCCGGCGGCCCCACCCCTGCGTTAGCCACCCTAATGGGGGCGGGGGCGTGGGAGTAACCAACTGGGGCACCAAGAGTCTTCGCTATCTTGAGAATACGCCCTAATTTCTGTGTGTGTGTGTGTGTGTGTGTGTGTGGCGGGGGGAGGGGAGATTTCCGGCTTGAAGTTTTGCAAACGGGAAGCGAGGTGGAACATGAATGAATCAGGAAGCGAGGAGAGGGGGTGGCGTGCACCGCCGGGGCTATTTGGGACCCTGATTCCACTTGCCTGAGTGACAAGGATTTTCCCTTTCGCTTCCCCACCGCCTCTAGGGGGAAGTTGAAGCGGAACAGAAGCAAAAAGAAAAGACGCCCTCAAACTGGGGCACTGAGAAGGTCCAAGGAGGGAGTCCTCCTTTTTCTTCGCAAATCGCCCCCTCTTATTTCGCCTCTTCCGAAAAAAGTTCTTCTTTCGGGGAGGGGGGTAAACCTCAGAGCTTTCTCCAGAGTTAGAGGTGCCCAAAGTACACGTGGCTAAGTGGCTCCAGCTCAGCGGGAGAGACAGGACATTTAGCCCGTAGACTTATATGGTCTTGTGCTCAGCGTTCCGGGAGGCTTCAGGGAGGCAACGCTCGCGGTCGGCGCACCATGTCTTTGGAGGATCCGTTTTTCGTGGTGAAAGGGTGAGTGGCAGCCACGGCCACTGCAACTAACTCGGTCTGTTTGCCCTTGGTCGGGAGTGCGGCCACAGCGAGATCACCGCGTGGTGGGTTTGCAAGCGTGGGAAGATTCTTCCGCTGCCTTTAGTTTCTCGGATTACCCAATCTAGAAAATGTCCCCAACCTCTCTGGGAAGCCCCGTTCAACTACATCAGTCTTCCCCAGTCTGGGGAAATCATCTAGAAGGCAGCGGGAGAGTGAAAGAATAAACTACCGAAACAACCGAGTTCCGTAGAAAACCTTTACTAGCTTGGCCTAATTACCTTGTTGCCTCTGTTGGATCCTGCCTTCAATGGATTCAGAAGATCACATGCATTTTTGGGGTCCTTAGGGAAAAATCAAACTCACAGCAGCTTCTGTGGCATTTCAATACAGCAGATTCTTAATGGCATCTCTTTAGTGTTGTTCATATTTGTAGACCTGCACGGCAATAAACAAAAATTATGATGTCAAAATTGTAAGTTGGAACAAACTAAAGTTAGTTCGCCATATAAGTTTGTGAAGAGGCAGCTTCTGCAGGTGAGAGGAAGCAATGCGTTTACTTCATAATCATGCAAGGATGCCATGCTGAAAAGGGAAGTTGTTTTGTGCAATCATAAAGCATAGTTTTAGGTACTGATCCTCTTGGAAAGCAGAATTATGATAAACAGTGAAGGTATATCACTACTTATTAGAAATAACTCCAGCATGCTTTATTAGAGCAATGCCTTTATTAAGTCAACTCAAAGGTAATCAAAATTGATATTTTAGCTGGTCTAATAAAGGAATTGTCCCAGTATGGATTTTGGAATTCTTATGGCCATCACAGCAACCTTTGCTTTTCATCCACAATTTGTGATATTTTTCAGTTCTGTATCTCATGATTAACAGATTGTTGTTAGAAACTCGTAAAAATACTAGGCTGTAATGGGCTTCTCACCATCCTGCTTGCTTTGTCATTATGATCTGCTGAAGGGCACAGTATGCCAGGATGAAGGAATGCAGCTCCATTCTAGCAGCCTGCCCCCCCCCCCCAATGCACACGGGGACAAGAAGCCCTACTCTTGCATTTCTTGCTCTCCCCCACTCTGCTGCCCACTCCTCCAAACCCTCTTTGACAGCTATAGCACTTTTCATGGCATTCTCCAACCTGGAGCCCTCCAGATGTTTAGGACCACAACTCCCATCAGCCCCAGCCAGCATTGCCAATGGTTATTATTCTATGACAGCCTTTCCTAACCTGTTCCAGCCAAAATACCAGGCAGGACACAGGTTAGGGAAGGCTGTCACAGAATACATTTTACTACTCCAATAACCACTTTGCAGAAAAGCAATAAATAAGATTCCTTTCAGCTAACACTATCTGCTTCCTCTCTTTGTCTTCTGCCTTTTTTCCTGGTAAGAGCACTACCTTCTGGAATTGGTCAGACAGGTAGGAGCAGAACCACTGGAGTGTTATGCATCCAGGTTGGTGCATGGTTGATAATTTTGAAAGCTACTGAGTGGTCCAGTGGATTGAGTAGGGGGACACTCCCCAGGTCCTTTTGATGAGGGACAACAAACACCATTTCAGGGCGAAACCCAGGCTGAAGTCCAGCTGGAAAATATCCAGATAGTGACTAGAGCTGAGAGGCCATTGCCCACTGAAGGACATTGTCCCTAAATAGTAATCCCCAGCATGTAAGTGCCTGTGATGCTACTTGATGGGAAGCCACCAGCAACTGGACTACAAGCACCCAGGTTTAGGGAGAAGAATCTCTAAGTTAGAGGGACAGGGGTTTTTTTTAAGTTTTATTTATTTATTTATTTATTTATTCAACTTGAAGTTTCTTCCTGGCTTTCATGAGATTTCACTTTGAAGTGAATCATGGTATCTGTTACTGGTTTTGCCCAAATTGCATGATTATTGCTGGGTATGTGCAATGATCACATGTATGTGTGTTTTATCTTTGGTGAGCTAAAAGGAAAAATACCCACTAAAAGGAAGGGGCCACCTTTCTTCCTTGAGAGGCAGTTCTTATTTGCTGCAGGTGCCTGATCAGGTCCTGTGTGTGTGGAGACGAGGCAACCAGAGGCAGAACTCCTCTGGCTCTTCAGTCCTCTGGCTCCTCTGTCTTCCAGACAGCCCTGCAGAGCACGGTCTTGCAGTGGAAAGAGAAGATGAGGAGCAAAATCTCCTGCCTGAAACCTTGGAGGGCAGCTTGCTGTTGGTGTCAACAGTACAGGGCTACATGGACCAAGAACGGGGACCTGGTTTGTGTCTCAGCCAGCTGTGCTGGTGGGGACATGCTGAATGATAAGGGCTATTTTTCTGCCTGGGCTGCCCTGAGACTGCGTCTTAAATCTGTAAACTGCAGCAGCCACATCACCCTGCCTTTTGGTACAGACAGTTCTGGGGCCCGATGGCCCTGAATGGGGGTAACCTGCAACAATGAAGTGGGCCCTCTCTTAGGAAAACAGTCTTCAGTGGAAAAGCTTTATAGTTTCCAGAAGAAACCACAACTAAATCTAAAACTCCCCCCACCCCGCACTAAGAAAAACTGGGCAGGATTTCAGAATTAATTGGGACTTAATGAATGTCAGCATATTCAAGTACTGCTTTTGACACTTCTGACACATCCCTTAATTTTTTAAAGAAAAGTATTGATAATTTAAAAAAGCCTATTGACAATATATTTTGAAGGTGGTGACCTCAAATATTGATGTTTTCAGCTTCATAACTTGACACCTCATCTCCTCCCCTACTCACCTTTTCAAAACCAGCAATTCCCATGATGAGTAGTGTGCAAACAAAACTTGAATGAGCAGCATTCAAGCACCACCGGCAGCATCACCCAGAAAAGGAAACAGGCACCTACTTGGCCGTGGTGTGAACGGAATGGTAGACTAAGACAGAGCAGCCGGGCTCGTCTTACGTTCTTAAGAGCTGGACTCAAGTATAAAGACCACTTCATATCTTCATAAGGATAGTGCCAGGGCTTTCTTCAGGGTAGGAACAATGACCCCCTCTGCTGGAGCAGAGCAAAACAAAAGCAGGGCCCCCTCCTCCCCGCAGCTAACTTTTCTTTGTGTTTCATAGAGAAGTCCAGAAAGCAGTCAATACCGCACGGGGGCTTTATCAGCGCTGGTGCCAACTGCTCCAGGAGACACAGTTGGTCAGCAAAGAAGAGTTTGACTGGACTACGAATGAACTCCGCAACAGCTTGCGCAGCATCGACTGGGACTTGGAGGACCTTGAGGAAACCATTTATATCCTTTACGGGCTGGAGCAGAATCTGGGTGGGGAGGGGCTTCTCTCCAGGCCAGGCCATTGCACTGTGTGATGCCTGCTTTGCTTGCTGCAAGGATAGCTGTGCCAGGTGATTGCTCCCCAGCTGCTCCATGCAAGGCTCTTTGCTAGAAATTGGAAGGGGACTCAATCATCAAGAAGCTCCTTTTAGCTGTGGAGCTAAGCACCAGTTTCAGGCCACAGAATATGCACAGCCCTCTGCTTTCCCTACCCAGAGTCTTAGCACTAGTTGCACTTGACACATGAACACGCATTGTGGAGTCAAACCCACACAAGTTCAAAATTGAGCCCAGCGAGGTTGCCGATCGCCGTTCCTTTGTCACAGAAATGCAGAAGTCAGTCAAGGTGAGTCTCCCTGGAGTTGCCACCATGGCATTATGACTTTTGCAGAACCACTGATGCAGCAGAAGATGTTTTGTTACATGTAAAATGCCTGAATGAATATGTTGGGGCATTAGCGAAGGTTGCTTTATTCTAAGGGAGTGATAGTCGAAGAGCCCACATTAAAATACCCACATCATCAGGTCCATCTAGATATCTTGCACATAGAACTGACCCCTTAGGAAAACTGCAACTGGTGGTTTTGGGACATCTCAACCCTCCAAAATCCCAGTCTTTACCAAAAGTACATGGATGAAACAAGCAGCTCCTATTAGGGAATAGCACACACAATTCCAGGCCAACCTGGCTGACTTGTTGGACTCTCTTCCCTTTTCTGATTCTTTCAAAAAGTGAACCGTTACTTCGTAAAGTGCATGGCTGAAACTGCTACCATTAACAACTTTGTATATGCTTAATTTGTTCTATGAAAGTTGGTTCTCAAATTATGAACAATTTTAGTAATGAGGATGTATTATTTGGCAAGGATAATACTTTTTTGTATTTATTTCAGTTATGCAAATTCTGAAACAATTAGCATGCATTCCCCAAAGCCCTGCTGAAGAAAAAGTAGCTTTCGCTTTCTCATGTCTTCAGGTATCTTCTGCTTCCTTGAAAAGGCAGCTATTTTATCACACCCAGTGAAGCAATGAAACCCAAGTAGTTTTGCCCAGTAATGATTCCAGTGAGTCTGCTAACTTTCTCACAGCTGTGTATGTCAAATTGTTCTTTGACTGTAGGCCTACTTGCAGTAATTATGGTCATGGTGATTTCACTTCAGCATTTAAATGTAATTTCCCCCCCCCAAAATAATAATCAGTCCATCTCTGTCATGTTTGTATATGACAGTATTCATTGGTGTGATACATGACTTCAGGAAGCAAGAGGCTAAATGAGTTGGGATTCTGCCTCTGCATGGGTACGCTCAAAGGAACCCTCTTCACTGCATGGTTACAATCCATGGTATTGAAAAAAGAACCTTAATTCCATGCAGCACCTCCAGACCAAAAATGATACAATCTTCAAGGTTAGTGGTTTTCAGGTTTTCACTAGAAACAGCACCAGCATCCCTTTGATGTTATCATTCCATAGGTATCCAGTGAAGTCCCCAATAAACCCAGTGAGGCAGAGCGAAAGACTAGCTGCACAGTGTGTTTTAACTGGCAGTATTAGGAGCCCTCCATTTAGAAGCAGCTTTGGTCTGCTCTGGCATGCTCCTCCTACACCGGAAGCTGTGAAAGGTCTTCCCTTCCTCTTTTGCTTTTGAGAGCTTTGGTTAAAATGTCAGCAGTTCCTTCTTTTCAGGCTTCCCATTCAAGATTGTGAAAACAGATACCTTCTGTCACGGAGAGTCCCTTTTCCATCAGTAGTGTTGACATATGCTCTGTACCCCCTGCAGTGCCTACTATGAACTGTGGTGATGATTTCATTCCTTCTTTGATAGCCCTCTGCTCATCAAGGGATGCAGATGGTAATCCAGCTTCTGTTTGTTTCAAGAGAAGGCACTGTGCCCAGGATGTTTAAGAATATGAAGGGTTTTCCTGTTGCCGGTGATATTTTTGTTGCAACACCAGTTGGAATTTTTAATAGGATCACATGCCCATTTGTTACCCAACAGGGAGGTGGTGTCTCCAGGTTATACCTGCTAATCACAGTCTTGCTATGGGAGAGTTCCCTGGCTCCCTGTCTGGTAGCTGCTGCTGGTTATCCAAGCTCTTTTCCTCAGCAGGCCCCGTAGAAATGAAGGTACCAGTACTTTTCTGGAGTTGCAGTATCAATTTCTTCCTTAAGTCAGTACAGTGGAAATCATTATAGCATGTATCATAATCTCTGGTCTAATTTGGGGTTTGTGCCATGTATAGTACTCAGGGAGGCGATCTCTAACAAATGGTACCAGTTTCAGCCACATGCTTTAGGACATAAGGAACAGCCTCCTCCGTGGTGGACATTGCAAGGGAGTCCACTCCAACCAAGTCAGCCAGATTGGACAGTCTGGAATTAGAGGCACTTTTGCCCAACAGATGCTCTGCTTGTTTCAGTCATAGAACTTACGATGTAATTTTTGCCCTGAAATTAGTTTTGGAGGGCTGCTGCCGCCTAAGCATCCAAGCAGTTGCGGCAGAGTTGGGGACACCGCAAGATCTGTGAGATACCCAGGTAGTCCATGCTTATAACATAAATATTTTGACACAGGCTCTTGGATTATTTGAAATGGCACAGTTGTAAAGGTATGAATCATACATTCATTGTTGCAAGGAAAACTGGCTGCAAGAGTTCTAGACTTCATCTTTGCTCTAAAAGATACTGTGGCTGGGAGTAAATAGTTTGGAAATCTATTTCCAAGCAAAGGAGTTAAATTTAGGTGGCCGAAGTTGGGATGGGGCTGGACATTGTAAATCAATTTTAATTATTTCTAGGCCTCTTCCTGTAATTTCATTTATTTGTATTTGTACACATTATATATAAGGTGGGTTATTGTGTGTCCAGGGACTTCATAGAACAGTGCAGCCTGATTATGCTGACGCTTAGGCCTCCATCTTTACTAGGTTATTTCCGTATTGCTTCTTTTTCTTGTCTTCAGGAAATGCAGGATCACATACTCAGTCCAGAGGCACAGACCTATGTGGAGAGAAGAAACAGAGAGGTCAGTCCATTCTGCCATTCAATGTATTACCCGAAAGGGAAGGAGTACTGATTGGACAATTGTTAGGGTGCCTCTCTATCCCCGGCTGTCTGGGCTAGCCCCCCCTCCCCATGTAGTGTATTGCCTGAAGGCTGGGAATGATGGGAGTTGTGGTGCAACACTTCTGAAGGGCACCAGCTTTGCCGTGGAAGGTAACTTGTCAAGGAGCTTGCCCGCTAACCAAGGCTAAAGGCCACTTCGTCCTCCTCTGAGGCACATACTGTTCAGCTAAATTATCACTTTCTCTAGTGAGTGAAGCGCCCTTTGTTTTCCCTTTGTGCCCAGATTCTGACCTGTTGCTCCTAGAGGAAGAAATGTTCTACTCTATTTGCTGATTTCTTTCTTGCCTGTACTTCTAGGCCACTTTTCAAAATAACCCCCCTCTCCCCGAGGCTTACAACCCTCGGAGCAAATGATGAAAACCAAATAAAGCAGCACAGATTGATTTTCTGGTTTCCTGAGCTTGTTAGAATTAACAGTGGATACTGATTGATTCTGAATTAGATGCTAATAGTTCTGCCTTAGGAAAACTGCCATCTTGAAGGTGTCTAAGAAGTATGTTGAACAAATACTCAAAGAACTAAGAGCCGAAACTTGATCCATTTTATATCTGTAGTAATTTAATCCTGGATTGCAGTGGAAATAGTTCCTGATCTTTCCATCGAAACAGCCACTCCTAGAAAAGACCCCGAGTCCAACTCTTGCTTTTATTTCTCAGGTCTCTCACTGCAGCATTTCTGAAGGCATTCTGAAACCAGGCTCGCTTAGAGATATTTGTTGTGCTTTGTTTCCTGCCCTCCATTTCCTCTGCAGGTGCTGTTGGAGAGCAGGGACCGCTCTGGCTTTTTGGATGTAGAGGATCTGTCAATGACTGATTCACACACTCTGGAAGAGCAGCAGCTACACCAAAAGGTGAAAACAGGGATATCATCTCTCTGCTTTGACCTGATCTAGGCCATTTGTTTGCATTTCTATCCTTTTTCCCCCTCCATTAAGGAACCCGAAGTAGCTTCCATGGCAATCTTGCATGTCATCCCCATAGCAACCTTGTGAGGCTGGTTAGATGAAGAGTCAGCGACTGGCCCAAGGCCACACAGTGAGCTTCATGGCCAAGGGGGAGATAGAACTTGCCTTCTGAGCCCTCATCCAGCCCTTTAATCACTCCCCAATGCAGTTAATGGTTATTTTCACATGCCAGAGCTTCCTGTGGAGACCAAGGGTTTCCCCTGGCCGTGTAGCTGTACTGGAGAACGCCTGGGCTGTGTTACAGGCAGTAGCGGCTGCACCAGCCGTCCTTTGCTGCACTGTGTTTCCTGACGGTGCCTGTTGAATGGCAGGAGGGGAAAGCTTTTGTCGTCTTCTCCTGCCAGACTGCTGTGGCAAGGTCTGGAGCTGGGGATACGAGGAAGTGCTTCTGGCTTCTCTTTCTGACTGGAGATCTGAGTTGAGACCCAAGCTCCTGCATCGGTCTGGTCCCTCAGCATCAGTTCCTCGTCAGCAGAACTGTAGAGGCTGGACTGTGACTCCAGGTAGGCAGGGATTGGCCCGAAGGCCTGAGGTTTGATGCTTCTGCTTTAAAAGGATCCTAGCTCTCATTGACCTAATGCACCCAAAACATGGACAGGTTTTGGTCCTCAGTAGTGACCATCGTGCTGCACGGCTCCCCACTGTTCTGTCCCCAGAAGGCCTGGGTCCAGTTCAAGGTGAGAGTTTGGGTACATCATGGCACTGGGCAAGATCGTGGGCAAGACCCTTCTCTGTTCTGTTGGTGGCTGCTCTGAATCCTGTCCGTTTCCAGCGTCGTTTCTCGCTCTGATCCTTCTCTCCTCGACAGCTGATCATGGAGGAACAGGACGAGCAGCTGGAGCTGGTCTCTGGTAGCATCCGAGTGCTGAAACACATGTCTGGGCAGATTGGAGAGGAGCTTGGTGAAGAGACTGTGTGAGTGCAGGTAGCAGTGGGCATGGGGAGATTCTTTCTTTTATGTGTGTAAGGCATTTCTAGCTCACTCCTCAGAGCAAACCTTCTAGCTGTGAGGGGGCGATGGCAGCAGTTCCTTAGCTGGAAGGGCAAAGAATCTGTCCCATGGTGAATGGAGAAGGCCACAGAGCAGCATCAGGTGATACATCCCTGGTCTCCACGTTCTCCAGAGTCTTTTTTAGACATTTGACTATCTGTACCCCACGTTTTCTCAGCATCAGTAAAAACAAGACTGTCCCCTGCCTTCAGGCTTCACGTCACAAAAGCCACAATATAAACAGCTGGAGGGAGTAGAGAGGAAAACAAGAAAACTCAGGCACCAGTGCTGAAGGTTGCAAGGGACTTTTTTAATGACCAGCTGTTATGTACCAAGCCATTGTTGAAGCCATTGTGACCAGTTGAAAGGGAAAGGCTGTATCCGAGAACAGGCTCTAGGACCTTTGCCTATCTAGAACTGTGTTTGGCAAGTGATTTTTTTTAACCTGAAGCCGTATTTTGAATTTAGCAAGAGGTGAAGGGCCAGCATCATGGGCATGCTCTGCTTCCATAGCATGTGAGCCGAGACACAGGGCAAGAGTGCTTCCCTTTCTTCGCAGGGATAGCAGCAGTGTCCTTTCTCGGAGCCCTGTGTGCTCCTGCTGCTTGCTCATGCTTGCCAAGTCCTGGCTGGGTGCTGGGTAGGTGTCACATGGAAAAGCACTGACAACACCTCTGTCTGTTTGCACTGGCAAGTGGGTCAAACAGCCCTCTTCTTCCATCTTGGATCGGAAGAGGGAAACTGGAGTGCCTCCGTGCCTTTATTAAGCTGCTGTTCATGGGATCAGAGATTACACTGGAGCCCGATGGGTAGTCCTTGGAAGGTCAGATGGGCTACTGCCTAAATTAGGAAGGGCTTGCCCTGCTAGAGCTTTAATGAGTAGATCCGGAACCTTCTAGCAGGGAAGATCCATTCAGAGAGAAATCCCAGCCGCAGGGGACATTGTCTTGCCAGTCCTGACTGGCATCCGCATGCTTCTCCCAGGCGTGGGGGGCAGTGTGGGTGGGATGTGCAGCCAGAGCAGGAGAGAGCTGCCCCATAGTCACACTGCTTGAACTGATGATGCCTCTGTGATGTCCTAGCATGCTGGAAGACTTTGCCTGTGAGATGGATGGCACTCACAGCCGCATGGACAGAGTGCTCAGAAAGATGGCCAGAGTCTCCCATGTGGCCAGCGGTAAGAGAAGACCCCTCCACAGTGCATTCCTGGGGGCTTCCTGCAGCGGCGGGGAGAGCGGCCACTGCCTCGGCTCGTCCTCTCCCAACACTCTGGACCTCCGTTCCAAACTGACTTGGTTCCAGGTGGCTTTGACTCTCCCCGCTGTCTCAGTACCTCATGCTCAGCCTTCCTTAGCCTGCTTTCCTTTACACCAAAGTGGTCGACGGGTGGGCTTGCCAAGGTTTTGGCCTACAACTCCCATCAACCCTCACTAGTGATCCTGTTCGGCAGAGTTGAATGAAACCATAGGGGAAACTGTCTGGAGGGCTACGCATTGCCCACCCCTTCTTTGTCTACGCATCAGCTTAGATCTGGGCTTAGCCGCGAGTGGTTAGGGGAGGCCATCTGTGCCCCAGGACACCTCCCTCTGCAGAGTCATCGCAAGCCTTCCTGCCTGGTGGAGCGTTTGAGCCTGCTGTCCTTTAGCTGTTCCACGCAACAGCCACAGCCTTTTGGCATCTCGCTTGCTTCACACAGATTTCCTGGCACCTCCAGATGTTGAAGTGCGTTGAATGGCCAAGGCTGATGGGAGCTGCAGTCCAGCATATCTGGAAAACACCCAGTTGGGAAGGACAGATTTAGCACAGTGACTGGGTGAATTCTGCCCCTTCCCAGCTTCTTCCTCAATGCTTCCAGTGCAGTCTGCCTCTCTCCTCTCTGGCCTCATTGTTCTTCCTCTCTGCAGTGCGTGGGCCAGAGCTGTTGCTTTGGCTGCCTCGCTCTCCCCACCCAGGGGGCGCTTGCAACAGCAGCAACAGCAGCAGCATCACTTTTCAGGCTCAGAGCCAAGTTCTCCAAAGGAGAATGTAGCAGGGAGAAAGAAACGCAAGGCGACGCATGATCCCGTGAAATAAGCCCCTGCAAAATCTGTTCAGGCCAATACTGCACCACCATTTTCCTCTCTTCCTTTCAACACAATTCCCACAGCGGTGGTAGCCCACTCTTTTGGCAAGTGGGCAGCATTAAATAATGCCATCTAGAGCCCACTACGGAATATATGCAACCCCTGCAGCTTTCCTGTGCTGTTGGGTCGCATCCGAAGTTAGTTGTGCTTAGAGCAGAACCACTGAAAGTGATGGGGCTCGAGTTAGCCACAACTAACTCCAGTTCCATTCATTTCATTGATGCCATAGTCAGACCTACAGTGCCCTCTCTGGTGACCATTCCTGTCACCTGTGACACCTGGGTTGCAGCTTGAGCACTCTGACATAGGTGGCCCATCAAGCAACCAGCCCAGCCGGACCCTGGGCTCTTCATGCAGCAGGGTCTCCCTCCCATCTTTTCCACTCAGGTCATTTGCAGCTGCACGGCCGAGGGCTTCACAGACAGGGCAGCTCTTCCCTTAGCCTCCGTCAGCGGCCTGTGCAGAGAAATACCTGCTCAAATGTCCAAAGGATTGGCCCTTACACTGTGCGAGTTCTAGTTCCGAATCACCAGCGCAGAGGATCGGTGCTTGCATGTTTGTGCAAGGCTGGAGGAGTGTGCCATTTGTCCCAGAGGGTCCGAGGGTGGTTCCACATGGAGCTTCCTGTGCACGCTTTAGGTCCAGTTCTGATTAAGACTCCCAACCTGCTTCTTTTGTTTATTTTGAGACATCCCCCACTCCCTCCCCACAGCGGAAAGGATGGTGGATTCTTCAGAGTTGGCCTTCCTGCATTTACCTCCTCTTCCTCGGTGCTTTTCTCTCACCAGACTCGCGCCAGTGGTGCATCATGGGCCTGTTGGCCATCATCGTGGTGGTGGTGACGGTGCTGCTGCTCGTCTTTGCTGCATGAGCCAAAGGCGGGATGGATGTCGAGGAAGTGAAGCAAGCGCCATCCCAGTCACATGAAAAGCCTGGAGCCACCTTGGCCTTGTATTCTGCGCAAGGGCAGCCTTGCTGGGCAGCAAGGAAACAGGGTCACTTCAGCGGAAGGGAGAGTGGATTTCTAGCGAGGTAGTTCTTCCTTGCATGCACTAACGGTTGTAGGCTGCAGAGCTGTGAGAAGGTCAGACTTGCTTTCCAGAGGTTAATTGCCAAGGAATCTGCAGAATCTCCTTGTGCTCTATGCAGTCTTCAAAAGTCAACGTTTGTGTGTCTGTGAAGTTACACAAAAATCTTTGTGCCTATTAAATGCAAAGACTGTATCGCACACACAGTTTGTATTACGGTATTGCAAGCAGCAGCACTTGAACAAGTTTCCTTTTGGAGACGGCCTTCTCTTTCCATTTTCATCAGTGCAGAAGTGGCCTCCCCTCCCCTCCCAGCAGACCAACTGCTGTTGTAGAGCCCATTCATACCCTGTCTCTGAAAGAGAACAAGTTGGCTTCAGGGTAAATGGAAGAAACCAGCCTGTCAGTTGCATTTCATCTTTGCCATTGCCAAAGGGGAATTGTGTCTGGAATGGACGGGACAAAGCTGTGCTTTGTTTCTTAAAGGGCGAAATTGCTGGAGGTTCAGTATATATGTCTAAACTGACTCACTAAGTGTCAAGAAACTCAATGACGCCGGGAACAGAGACCAAAGCTTGCTCTCCTAGCCAGATGCCAGCTCCCCTCCAGAAAATGGGAAATCAGTGCAAGAACCTGACCACCAAGTCTCTGTCTCAGTGTTTTGGTTCATGATGCAAGTGATGCAGATACTTCTGGGCTACTGAATATTCCAAAGTAAACCAATTTGTAAAGCTTTCGGCTCAATGCCCTCTTACTGTTTAAAGTGTCTGGTATGGTGGACAGTCTCCACTGAATCGGAGACTGAATCTTCCAGAAACCAAATTCTGTCAGTGCTTATACAGTGGGGCTACTTTCAAGCAAATCATAGCCTGACCTGGAGGAGAGGCAAGGTCATTTGTCATCGTATTATAAAGCAGGGGTATATAAACTTTACATGCATGGGCTCTCTCATGTTTTTACTAGAACTCTGTGATCTACCCATAGTGCAACTCCGGTGCATTAGCCATACAAGTTAAAATTCAAGATTTCTGAGCCCAGGAATTGGTTTGAGCTCTGGAACTGAACGAAGCGCCATGCCTTTCTTACCCTTAAGCGTTCTTCATTTCAGTCATGTAATTCAGGCCAGGGTGGTAGGGTTAGGGGAAGTCATTTTATTGTTGCTCTTGTTATACACTTGTGAGTCATTAAGGAATGTATATTTACTGCAACTCACCCAGAGATTTACCCGAAAATCCAGATGTACCTACTACCCATCCTTCTTTAGAAAGTAGCTAAAGCTACTTTAAAAAATAAAGATTTTGTATGTTTCATATATACTGTTCTGGAATGTTCTTCTTATTGGAAAGGAGGCAACGGAGATCATTATGCATCCAAGAATGCCAGAGCGGCTTTGTTCTCAGCCAAATAATTTCACATTTTGCCTCCAGCTGTTGTCACCCACATATGCTGGACATGATGGTGAGCACTTCCACCATTTAGCAGTAGCTACTTCCTAGGTTGGGCAGAAATGTCTCCAAATGTTTGGAATGTTAACCCCCAGCTGACAGGGTCTTTGGAGAGGTGAAGTCTAAAACATCTGGAGATCTTTTTTGCTCACTCAGTGGTGGGGAAATTGCCTTTGAATAAGGATGGCCCATTTAGCTATTGTAGCCAGTAACCATGGACTAGCCTATCCTTTGTCTAATGCTCAAAACTGGCTTTAAAAATATAGACACAATTAAGCACTTTCAATTGGAGTTATGCTGGGCTTTTAAAGATCTTTATTAGCTTACGTAAGTTAGATGTACTAGTGCCCTTCCATTTGTGGAATAGACTCCAGTGGTGGTTTGAATTCTCCTATAGCCTCCTTGCACCCCGCCACATCTACTCGGGAACATTGGATGAATCCACGAAAAGATCTGGGAGGTCTGCAGAGAAGAGGACACTTCCACTGGCTGCTCAACATAATGTTGCATCCAGTCCAGTAAACAAGACATAGGGTTTTGAGATCATGAGCTTTCCCCCTTCTCTTCTCTCCCATGAGAGGCCAACCCTGTGTTTATTTGGAAAGAAGTCCCACTGTGTTGAAGGACATTTACTGGGGCTAAGTATGTAGTGTAGTCTTAACTCTCCCCCCTCCCCTTTTTTTTTACAGAATAACCATGTAGTGAGCTCTGGTGAGCTTTAGCAACCGAAGGGTTGTAGCTGACTTGGTGTCCCTCTGTTGATAGAGGTTTCCGTCTGTGGAATGGTGAAGCAGATGCACTTTGAGCATTCCCTCAGCCGCTTCCAGAGCCATCTTGCTCATGACCCTGAAATCCCCTCCAACCCTCTGGAGCAGATATAGGCCACTTCAGAGGCAGGGAACACACATCAAATGCTTTCTCTTCTGCCCCGGTAATGGAAGCCTCCCTCAGGAAGAGCTTTCTATCAACAGAGGACCTAATTAAGTAGTTTCAGATTTTGGCCAACATTTCCACACTGGTTTGAAGCATGGTTACTTCAACTAGTTGGCTTAAGCCAGGCTTTCTCAACCTGGTACTCCCCAGATGTGTTGGACTACTGCTCCTAGCATCCCCAAGCCAGGTAACTAGGGAAATGCTGGGAGGTGTAGTTAAAAAGGTTGCAAAAGGTTGGACTAAGCTAAGGAACTATTTGCAGGATATGGAATTTAGGAGTAAACACAGACCCCAGATTGCATTAGTTCTATACAATGGGTTATATTGTTTGAAAACAGGTGTTTCTTAGCGTGGAGACAATGATTCCTCCTTTAAGTGCGTACCAACTGTTTCTAAGCTCAGCAATGTTGCCCGTAATGACTCAGAGGAATCAGGTTTGCAAATGAAATGGCCAGATACAGAATTGTTACAAACTTTTTTATTAACATTTCTGAATTCCTTTTTTTAATCTTTACAGTAGTTAATGTGCAATTCTTGATACTCTCAGGTCACAGGGGATGAGGGAGTCACAAAATTTTTCTTGGCACTTATAACACAGAACAAATACTGGCATTACCCGGGGCAAAGGGGTGGGTTTCAAGGTAAAAGCGGGGGGTGCTGAGGGAGCTGGGGTGGTCTGGGAGAGAAGGGGTGGTTGCTTTTGTTATTTTAAAGGACTGGTTTTCCTCTCTAGAAGGATTTTACAAGGGTCAGGGGAGGGAGAGGGGCTGATAGTGGAGTAGCTGCTTGCGTCAACCCAAAGCGCCTGGAAAGGGTAAGAGAAGTCCATGCTGCATCTGCACAGAGGTTACATAATCAGGCTTCATTAGTGCTTTTCAGTGTACATTTTTTGTCCTTTTCTTAAAAAAATTGTTTGCTCTAGGGTTTATTTTTTGCGGGAGAGAGAGTTAAAAAAAACAAAATAAGATGACAAAAGTTGATACAGCAAAAGAAAGGAAAAAAGGCCTCGCTCCCTTCCCCGCACCTGTGGTCATTCCCGCCCCCAACAGAAAGCATGCCCCAGACGCGAAGATGACACTGGGGAGAATTCCCAGCAGGGTGGAAGGAACCTCGACAGAGAGAGAGAACGCCACCAAGTCCCCTCCTGCGACCCTGGCAAGCACCCTTGAGACGAGCAGTGAACCACAAGATGCATTGGAGCGGGTCTTCTATGGCTGTTACCTGCCGAGGATTCCAGAAGGCCACAGTCCCAAAGGATGTAAGATATGCTCTTATTTTAGACTCTCCACCACCACTGTCTGTCTTGTTTGGGAAATTTATACCTGGCAATCCTGCCTTGGATGTCAGCTCACAACACATAGCAACAGAGTGGGGTTCTTTAGGTCAATTTCAAGGTTAAACTCAGTTAAAGCAGCCCTGGCCACCTGGTGAGAAAACCAACCAATGCACTCATCTGTTCTTTGGCCCCCAGTGGGTACCTAAAGCAATCACACCTGGAAAATAAAACCAAATTCTACTGCACACTATTCTGTATGTTCTGATCTATATTCCAGTGTAAATCCAATTGTTCATATAAGTTCTGCCAAATAAGTCTTGCCACCAGTTTCTCTGGAACCCTGTTGACATTTTAGACACACAGCTATTGGGGGTACATGGAAGAAATAGTGCACCTTTGCTCCTTTCCACTCAAGTTCAGGCTTTCCCTTTTCTTTGAACAACAATAGGTCAAGAGCACCCGGCAGAGTGGCTGCTCTTCTCCAGCAGGTGCTGCTTGCATTACACTTCACAACACAGCCACAAAAGAGCCCATGTTCACTCTACAGTTACAAAATGTCAGGACTACCACCCTGTCAAACTATACTCAAATTTATCTTACCCTCAACTCAAAGCAGGTTTTCAGATAATTTGTTTGAGTGAGAAGGTAATGACAGTGAAATGACAGTCCGTGCAAAGGTAAAGAGGCTGATATGAAGGGACCCACCAAAGGCGTCAGCTACAGAAGCGGCATCAAGTCACTTGTGGTTGTCAAATGCCAGGGCAGGACAGAGACATGCACAGCTGTTACTAGGCTATGAGACCATGGGCCCACTAAGTAACTATTGCCTGTACTGCTTTTTCCAGCCCCACCCGCGGATGCCACGGATGGAAGCTGGGAGTTTTGGTGCGCAAAGCATGCACCCTGCATTTTGTCCCCCAAGCACAGCTCTGATAAGCATGCAGAGACACTCCAAACATGAGCCACTTTGTGTTAGGTAGTAGGAAGCAAGAGCTCTATCTCAAGTATTTAGATCAGTTGCATGATAAGCTCTGTGGAACATTTTCTGCAGAACAAAACTGCATTCGTAGGCTAAATGATGCCCTCTGTAAAGTTTAATATCAATATACATACCTAGGAAATCCCAGAATGTGGTATCTAATGGCTAGGCTAGACATCCACATGGGAAGGAAGTACCAGGCTGATTTGAGCTTTTGCTGGGATAACATGCAAACTCCTCTATCTGGCCACTTAGATGTGCAATAACTAGAGGACAGAATGTGAGCATCACCTACAATGAATTGTATCAAAACATGAAAGTGGGGGAACAGTGAAGATGAAATGGAACAGCTATAGAATGAACAAGGATGCCATGCTTCCTTCATTGCCCTAGGAAGACGTCTCAGTCCAAACCGTGGCTTGTTTGGGCGCAGCCCAATCATCCCAGTAGCAGATGCTCGTAAACGCTGCACCGGGATGCTTCTGAGCATCCAATGCAAGGAGTGCAGCACTGCTGCCACCACACCTCGTACCCTGCACTTCTCAAGATGGCTGTTCTCAATCTTGGCCTAGGGTGGAAAGAAGACCACGGCGCTGGAGGAGGCTAGGGTAACTCCAGGGTTGCAGCCTCCCTCCCCGCCCCACCCCCAGAACACCACATTTCCCCCTCCAAGGCCCAAAGGGGGAGGCAGCAGGTGTGGTTCCTTCCAGGCTGGCTGCAAGGAAGTAGTGCAGGGGCTCAGCCATCGGAGTCCCACCTCCAGGGAGGCCTCTAATTCTGCCCTTGGTGACTTGCAGGAAGAAAAAGGCACTCACTGCAAGTTAACCTCATGCTGCTCCCAGTCATGCATCAGCTGAGCGGGAGGAGAAAGGGGAAAGACCAAGGCCATCTTAAAAGTACTGAAAGCAGAGAAACGGGGGGTGGGCAACTTATGCTCCTCTATAAGTTTTGGCCTACAAACCCGATCAGGCTTAGCCAGCACAGCCCCTGGAAAGGGATGATGCAAGTTGTAGGCCAAACCATCTGGGGGTCAGCCCTGAAAGAAAACAAATAGCCAAGCTGGCCGTCTCACACTGCCGCAGCAGAATGCATTCCCCAGTGAATACTGACGTACACGCAGTCTGTGAAACACGGGAGACCCGTGAAACGTTCAATCCCACCTTACTGGCATGTGCGCCTCCATCATATATATGAAGAACGCACACCAGATGCAGGCATCCATTCTACTTTTAGACATACACTTTAAAATATTAGGTGGTGCCCAGCTAGCAGCATCTAAACAGCACTATAACTGGAAGTTTAGTCCCTTTCCCAAGAATTGTCAGCTCAGATGAATTCTTTTAGAAGAGAATACTGGGAAGAAGAATTTCTAGCCCAGGTCATTCCACAGGTAAGATTTTGCAATATTTTTTGTCTCTCTACCCAAGCAATGATTTTGCTTTTAAAAAAAAACAGAACTTGTGGAGTATGTGCACATGTGGCGGGTGGAAGTCAGGCACTCGCCCTTCCCTTTTGATGACCCCATTATCTCCTCAAGGAAGTTTTTTGCTGCTGCTGCTGCGGCAAAATCAAGGGTGTATCTCAGTGCTGGATCAATAAGGTTTCACCCCCGCAGCCAGGGTAGACTTGGAAGAGTGATTCTTCCGACATTGCTCCAGAGGCGAGGGTGATGGAAGAAGGGCAAGCCCCTGTGCCCTTGGACCAGGAAGAACAGATTAAGGCATTCTAACCCATGGCAAACGGCAGCCCCAGATGCGTGTCCCTGTTTGCACCAGAACATTACACAAAGCTTATGGTTGCTTATCCATGTGGATCTTTTTCCTGGATGAGAATGACAAATGCCCCACCATCACATTAACGTCTCTCCCTTTGTTCAGTGCTCATATTCTCTATAACTTGACCAAGGTCAGTCCTCATGTGACAACTCATTAGATTTCCCTCCTACAACTATTTGAGAAATCACATGCAGAAAATTTTCTCTCACACACATACACACTCCCTTCCTTTTTAAAGCCACATACTACCCTTTTCTTAACTGAGCATGGCAAAAGATTATTCAGCATATGCAAATAAACAACTATACATATGCCCTTATTTGGTTTCTAGTAAAGGTCTACAATGTTTACAAATTTCACATCCAACTTGTCTGGAGTAAAGTACAAATCCAAGGTGAAATGAACAGTTTATCTACATAAATGATCATACACACTGCAGAAAAATGGGACGCATTTCTGACTGGAAGACAAAAGAACCCTTTCCTGTCTTACAAGCAGCACATGGAAAAGGGGAAAAATGGGCTTGGAAGAAAGTGAATACTGCGTTAAATCTGAACTTGTGTCTATGTCAAACACTTAAGTTTTCAGACCTTGGCAAAAAGTTACCTGTTTCTCGAGGTGCAGGGCAAATGCCGATATAGTTGATAGTCAAGGCATCACAGCATTGCAAGGTTAATGCAACTCATCATGAGTTCCTACCAACGGAATCTCTGGAACGGGAATTCTAGGAATGACTGAGGAAATTCAGTAAATTCAAAACCCGAGAATGTCCAAGATTCCAAGAAGAAATCAATTATGAATCCAGGCTAGAGTCACCACAGGTTTGTAACACAGATTGGTGTCAGATGTCTAATAAATGACGATAGTTACAAGCTTTCTTCGTAAAAACATCTCAATGAGCAATCCTCACAGTCTTGGCTAAGGCCCCTGCAAAAATACGTACTCATTTAGACCTCCTGGAATATAGTGCATGTATCTTTGTCTCCCTCCAGTGGCAAAAAAAGAAAATCTAAATGCATTTTATTATTCATTAAAAGGGTAAGTTTGCCAACTGACCTGGCAAAAGTAAACAAACAGCATGCCCTTAAGTAGAAATCAACTCATACATGAAGCAATATCCCGAATGTTAAAGGACATGCAAAACAGGCATATGTTATTTTAAGATTTAAAAACTCCCCACTAGGGGTCCCAAAAACCAGATGTTCCTGCTCAGACAGCACTGATGCATTCATGCAGATGGTGAGTGAGTCTTTATCTTATCAAGTTGTCCACTAAGAACTCCGACTAACATGCTGAGACCAAAATTGCATTGTAATATCCGAATCCTAAACATGTTTATTTGGAAAAAGCCCCACTGCTTTCAGTTGGGCTTACTGGTAGGTAAGCATACATCTTTTGTTTAGCTGTTTCCTCTAGAGCTTCAGAAAATAAGGAATATTTCTTAATTAGTAAATACAGATTTTAATTAAGACATGAAACAGCCGCTCGAGGAACCAGCCCTCCTCTGCCACAAAAAACTGAGGGTTCCTTAGCCTCCCTTGAGACAAGTGGAAATAGTCTCCTAAACAGATTAACGTTTATAAGGGACATTCAGTTTTTTAAACAAAGAATTTGGCCTTATTTGCTGTAACAGTTTATAAAAGAATTTTTGAAAGGCTATTCCACAAGACAGCCAGGCCTCCTTCAGAGTCACTTGCCTTTACCAGACCCAGTTAGCAACTGCCAAACCTCCCTGTGAGGGAGAAAGAAAGGAGGCCTTCACCAGGTAGGTCAGCTTTGCTTCGACTGACTGAAGGGGCTACACGAGGCACTCCTGACAGTGATGAAGGGCCTGACCTGAAATCATAAAAAGCTGGTCTTTACAGAACTACACTGTTCATCTTTTTTTCTGTGAGGAATGCTACACAGACAATGCTCTGGAATTTATTCTCATGGAGATTCAAGGACAAAGGTTTGCATCATTAAACATGTTTTTAATTCATGAAAAAGTCTGCCACCCACTGCCTCCTGTCACAATTCAGGAGATAAGTTCAATTTGCTCAGAGGAAAACTAAGCAAGTGTTTGGTGTAACAACGAACATGAATGCACATAGGATAGTTCTTGAGTATCTGCTAGTTCTATGTTCAAAGATGTCCAGAGGGGAAAGAGAGAGATTCCCCCAACAGAAGTTAAAGTTATTACCTTGACCTATACAAACAAATGAAAAGAACAGGGAATGGAACGTTATTACGGTCATGCCATTCAGTCAACCAAAACCCAAATTATCTCTGCTCTGCCTTCTTTATTTCCCATCTCAATATAAAGGCAAAACCTATGAAACCAAGTTGGACAGTTCACTACTCTGGATCAAATGCTACTCAGAGGCATCATGGATGTGAGACTGACATGAAGTTTGGGAACATAAAGGGAGACGTTTCACATTGCAATCAGTGACCTGTTTTTGGGGAGACGAGCTTGGCCAAAGGTTCAGCACAGGATGGAAGATAGTGGCCTTAGAATCCCAAAGGCAAGCCCTTCCCCTTGCGCTGCAACATCCTCACATGCTGGGGCACTGCTAGGACAAGGAAGGAGGGCTTCCTCCTTTACTGTTGCCCCTTCCTTCAGAACTTTGCTCCCAGGCCTCATGTCCTTTGAGGAAGCAGAAAGGATTGGGAAGTAGTGCAGCAGAGCTGTTATCTGTTCCCCCAAGTACAGACTGGAGGGGACTGACCCTTTAGCTGGCAATAGTAAGGAACCAAGTTCTAAGAACAGTTCCAGACTAGGGCAGCAGGGGGAGGGAAGCAAACCAGGCAGCATTTCCAGGTTCCTGCACATGCTGCACGGATGCAAACAGCCTGAAAAGTGGCTGAAAACGGAACTCTCTGCAGACTCCAGCCCATGTCACAACCACCCATTTCAGAGGCGGCCTCAAAGGAACAGGAGGCGCCCCCACTGGATTCCAGTCTTGTACCTCCACAGAAAGATCTTTCTTTGCGCTGCCGACACTGGGCTGCTCCCACTATGGGAGGGCTGCTCTGGTGGACAGGCTTGGCCTACAGGCAATGGTCTAAACCAGTGGTGGCGAACCTATGGCATGCGTGCCACAGCCGGCACGCGAAGCCCTCTCTGTCGGCACGTGAGTCAAGACGCCCCAACATCGCCCCAGCAGCCAAGCATCAGATAACAGCATACATAGGGGCCATGCGCATGCTCAGAAAGGAGTAGTGGCGCCAGGCGATGATGTCACACGCCGTGACTCATTATCTGCGACTTGTCCAAGCTTTTGCATGGCCGGTCAGAGCACTGCCAAGGATGGATGGATTGCTTGGACTGGCTGTGAGTTGTTTTTTCTAAACCAGAACCTCAGTTTTCAGGTTTTATTGCAGTGTTGGCACTTTGCGATAAGTAAGTGGGTTTTGGGTTGCAGTCTGGGCACTCGGTCTCTAAAAGGTTCGCCATCACTGGTCTAAATTGAAGGGCTGCCATGGAGTAGGGGAAGTGCATAGGTCGAGAAGGCAAACAGAGGGTGCGCACGTGCACCGGAGGATGCAAAGAGCAACAGGAAGGGAATTCACTGCCTTGCTGTGTGGCCAAGCAAGCGTGGAGGGGACGGGGGAGAAAGTGAGAAGGGCGGGATGACATGACAGCAGCACTGGGTTCAGGCCCTTCCCAGTCTGCATTTCTCATGGCACTAGGATTTTTCCACTCTCTGGTATGGACCTGAGGAAAGACTGGATGATGATCAGTCCAAGTTAAAGCCCTGCCTAGGGAGAACCAGATCTGATGAAGGAAGAGGCAGCACTCTGGGACAATTCTTCCCCAGATCATGGACTCCCATTTTTTTGTGAATGGACTTTTTTCCCAAAAGAAAAAAAAATCTACTAAAATATATATCTAAAACAATTAATAGCGCAACAAGGACAAAGGGAAGGTGAAGAGGGGGAGGGAAATGCCAGCCAGAACTGCCACTGCAGCAGCAGGACCTCCCCTCTGCGCTCGTACTAGCTGTGGTGCCTGAGGAAGCAAGGCCCATGTTGAAGAAGATTTCTTGTTTAAAAAGGAGACAGCACAATGCTTTCTTTCCCCTCTGCTGAAACAAAACCAAACCAACAACGAAAAGGAAATGAAAAAAAAGTGGAAAACGATTCTACAAAAAAAAAAAAAAAAATCAAATTAGGAAATAAAAACCATTGATTGGAAAAACCGAGGCGGGCACGTTCTACTGGAGGCCCTCGGTGGAGGTGCCTGCGTCACCGTCATGGCTGCCCGTCTCAAAGCTGTGCTCTACACCCATGATGTCTGGCTCCATCTTGCCAGTGTCATTGATGAAGGTCGTGTAGGTATCGCCCTCGGCCATCAGTAGTTTCAGTTTGGGGATCCAGCTCTTGCGGACGACACGCCGGGCGTTTGTGCACATGTCAGCAGCAATAGCATTCATCTCGCTCTCCTTGAAATTGGGGGCAAAATTCTGGCAATAAACTGAAAACAGGAAAGGATGGTCAGTGCCATGACAGCAGCAGGCAGGAGGCCTCCCACAGCTCATACCTCTCCAGCCTCTCATCACCTGATGGCCACAGCATAATTGATACACAGTTAAGTGTGAAGTCACAGCATGCTTTGGAAGAAAAGACCCGCTCAAACCCTTCACACAGCAATACATTGATTTTTTCAACACCAATCATTCAAGGGGCTGTGTACAAAGTGCATTTGACCTGGTGGCCCATGTATTCCTCCCACTGAGTATGTCTCACTGAGTCTCCAGAGGGTTACAGTTAAGAGTCCCCTTCATCAGTTATGTATGCTAATCCAATATTCATGAGCCAAAGGCACACAGTCAACACCCCTGGTTTTACTTTCCCCCTGTACCATATATTTTCAAGCAACTTACAAATGCTATTGTCTTCAAATGACATAGATAGGATGAATTTCCCCACAGATTAGGCCCTGTACTTTCACAAATCTCTAGCAGTGGTCCTGAAAGACTCTTCTTACTTTTTATCATAGCTCAGAGAAACTACAACTCGCTTCTGTACATTTCTTGACCTTCTCCCAGCATGAAACAGCTTCCCCAAAAGATATGGCATTGTGTCAACATTTTAGCCTGCATTACCCTATACTGAGAAACTATCCGATAATGTCTGTAGGGTGTCTGACTTGGTTTCCTGGCCAATGCAACAAGCTTCCCCAAGTTAGATCTCCTTTCCACCCCTCACCTACTTTCCCACGCAATCCAACCCCAGTAAGAGGAGCTCTTTAACCAATCTTTACTCACATTTCACAGCATGCAGTACCCGGCTGTCCAGGGGTTTCCGACTAGGGTCATTGGTGGAGGAGCGGATTCCAGTGCCACAACTGTTGGCAAGGGTGTTCCTAGCAAGTGGTTAAAGAGAGCAAGTAATTAAGTGACTCTTTCCCTTAACTGCCAACTCTGTCCATCTCTGCCTATCCCAGTCCCTGCCCTGCCATACAAAATAGTACATACTAGGGCAAGAAGGGGAGAAAACAGAGAAACAGAACTGCCCAGTCCCATTTCCCCACACAACAATGGAACACTTACTCACCGGTCAAAGAAGGATGCTAGTAACCGTCTGAGAAGAACTTTGTGCCTTGTCCCAGCACTGACATGACAATTCATCAACTGTGCCCGAGTAATGTACACATTGGTACCTGTGGCGACAACAAAGCACTTTGAAAATCAAGGGAGTCCAATAAAACACCTAGCCAGACATCTAACACATCACAGTACACAATGCTTTGTGGAAACAGCAAGCAGCAGTATACTTAACAATGCGATCCATCCAGTTCCCCTCACCTTCCAACAGTATATTATAATTATAAACATGAGCCCAGCTAAAGACATGTTGCTTATCTGTAACTGTGGTTCCAGTGGTTATCTGTGAACCCACAAACATGGATTATGCACCTGTGCAAAACAGCCATTCGAAACAAGCCAGAATCAAATGGGATTTTGGGTGGGAGCCACACCTACCTCCTCTGCATGCACGCCAGGTGTGGCTTCCACTTGCCTCTCACTTCCTAGTCTGCCACACCACAGAAGAAGAGGCACTGAGGTGGGGAGGAGGTGGGCTGCGTGCATTTGTAAATGCTCACCTAAGAAACCTGGACAGCACAGTCATCTTAAGTTTATCTGGGCAAATTTATCGGTTTACATCACAAAGTTAGGTTATACATCAAAGACTGCCATTTTGGTGGGGGAGACAGTAAAGAATCTGGAGAAGAAACAAGTGATTCTTTGTGCAGCTGGGAATGTTTCGATTGTGCCCTTGCTGAAAAGGGTAATGATTTCTTCTCGAAGAATGTGGTTAGAGCGGATGATCCTAATGTGGCAGCAGCGGGGGGCGGGGGGGGCAGTGCCTTCAAATTTGATGGACTAGTCTCAGGTAGAGACTAGGGAGAGAGTACCCACTTGTCACGAGCATGGAAAAGACTGCATGCATTCTGCAGGAAAGGAGCCAGTGGCTGGGCTCCACTACAGGGTGCCACTTGGATAGGCCAGCGCGGCTTCCACAAGTTGACTGGCACTGTTGAGGACAGCCTTGGATCCACAGTCACCATGTGGCCTGTGTCGATTTGCTGGCCTCCTAATTCCTGGGTGAGATTTCTGATGTCTTCCAGGTGACAGCTGAAGAAAGTTGCTGCTTTTCCTCATAAAACCTGTTCGTTGTCTGCCATGTCTGTTTTGTGGTTTGCTAAACAGAATGCTAAGTTTGCAGTGGGAAAAAAGCATACACCCCACTGAATATAATTTCCTTCCTTCTGAATCCACAGAGGCAGAGCGGAACTTCTCTCTGGTCTCTGACTCGGATGAAGGCACATGACTCATATATGTGAGTCACAGAGAGCATGAAGAAGAACAGCCATGAATAAATGCCAGTTTTGTGGCTTTGGCCCAGTCTTATCTCAGCTGCATGCTTTCACACCTCTTCTTTGATCCTTTTCCTTAACACAGGAAATCCATGGCGGGGGAGGTGGCAGAGCTGTGCCATGCCTTCTGATGGCCAACAGGAGCACTCTATCTGGAGAACCCCTGCCACACTCACGCATGCATGCACAGCTTCGTACCAAAAGATGCCAGCCCATTTGGGATGATTCTCAGTAATCCCAGAAGTAACTGAGATGTTTCTTATTGGCTGCAGTGAGCTTGAAATGTAAGTGCTTACCTACACAACTCTGACCCTACTAGCCCACGTTGCTGATCTTACCTGTTACAAGTTCCAGCTTCTCAGCTGGGTCACCCTCATCATACAGCTTGGGATGGCACCGGTTGCCAATCTGGTTGATGAGCTCAGCAGGCAGAGAAGCCAGGTCCTGCCGCACCCGTATCCGGTTGCGAGACTCCGATTGCACCTGGTCTGGCAGAGCCTCCACTTTCTCTGCTGGGCAAAGAAGAAAGGTGAGGGTGCAGGGGGGAGATATGAAGAACTTGTGTGAAAAGCAAGCATGGAATGGTAGATAAACTTTGTGAAATCTAGGCATGAAGGCCATTTCCCCTGGTTTAAAAGCTTCCACACAGACCCACTGCCTTCTTGAACAGAATTCTTATGTGAGTGATACTAATTCACAGACCTCCTGGATTAATGGAATTTAAGGATTTGGTTATTCCTTTCAAAATGAGATCATACAACCAACCCTTTCTTTCTCAACAGCAGAAAGCCATTTAAGAGCTTGTGTTCTGGATCTTTTCAATGAAAGGATATGGTTATCCTTTTAAAAATGAGATCATACAACCATCCTTTCTCTCTAGAGAGCAGAAAGCAATTTAAGAGCTTGTGAGAGTGGGAACTGCTGACTTGCTGTAGCTTCTAGGATCACCCAAGTCATAGAAAAGGATTTGGCCATCATCAGACAACCAAAGGCAGGATGAGGCAATACCGACAGGTGACCAGGCACCAGCACCCAAAGGGGCTGAATGATTTTATCAGCATTACAAATTCAGCACTATGTAAGGTTGCTGTTCATCATTATTACAGGACATTTTTCCAAAGTGTTTCATATGAATCTCAGCCATCTATACAACAGACACAGAGGGAACACAAATATAATCATTCTCATATTAAGGACTCGGGGAAGGGCCAGTGAGGCTGCAAACTGCAACTTTCATAAGGCTGAGCGAGCTGGTGGCTGAGCTGAGATTTGACATAGGCCCGTAGCCTATTTTATTATTTTCTTTAAAGACATACACAGACACACCCTTTCTTAATAAGTTTCAGAGTGGAGTACAAAAAAAGTTACACAGCAATTTAAACTACCTTAAACAGAACAAGTGAACACACAGATACAAATAGACCTGAAGCAGGAACAAACTATCAACCATCAAAGGCAGACTGAAAAGTCTTCAGGTGCCTCTGAAAGGATGTCAAAGAGGGCATTAAAAATACGTGCTATGGGAAGGCTTTCTAAAATATTGGTGCTCCAACAGAGACGGTTCAGTTGCTGGTGCTGGCTAGCCAATGGGGCTGAAATACTTGGGGATTGGGAGCATTTGAATGCAGCTCAAATGCCTAGAGATGGAGGGGGTATGGGAGGAGTTATCCCTGAAGACAAAGACCACCTACATCATTTAGGGCTTTAAACATCAAAGCCAGCATCCTGAGTTGTGTCTGGAAACCAGCTCATAGCCAGTGAGTTGTATCCAATTTTAGATCTACTTTAACAGACCCAATTAAGTGATGGGATTAAAGTTAGATGAACACTGGATACGACCCAATGTATCCTGAAAAAAGCCAGTTGAAGCCCATTAAACAACGGGCAGTAGTATTCAGTCCTAGTTTCCAAAATTACAGAACACTCTTCATGGGCAATTCCATGTGACATGCATGACAGTATTCTTGCCTGGAAGTCACCAAGGCCTGAACCATCGCCATAGGTCTCTATAACAGCCTCTCCAACTCGGTGCTCTTCAGAAGGGTCATACTAAAAGCCCCATTAGGTCCCCAGTATAACTGGCTGGGAGATTATGGAACATGTAATCCATCATGTCTGAAGGGCACCCGGTTGGGGAAGGCTGTTCTGTGAGCTTAACCACCTTACTGCTTCCTGCAGGCTGCAATATGCATTTTGTGGACTCAGAAGAAATCTTGAGTATCTGGCCTTTGCAAACTAGGCTGACAAGAAAGAAAAAGGCCCCAAGGACACAAAGCCAGCCCTCATTCTCCACTGACACACAACTTCATGGGTATGACAGGAACCTGAGAAAAACCACAAAGCAAGGACTATCCTTGTACACTTGCTCTTAAAAGTAGCATTTCAAAGCATGGTCACCAAGTCACACCTTCCAGATTCAGGAATTATTCACATCTTTAGGTTGCCAATATTATTAATATATAGACATTTTCAGTTATCTCTAAATTATACCTTCTTAGAATGTTTCCAGACAAAGGAAACATTGAGTGTGGGCACTACCAGTTAGATGGTATTCTGCAGTTGCTCTGTCCCTATAACAGATTTTCTTAAGTAAAGAAAAAGATATAGGTAAGAGTGGAAAAACATGGGGGAATTATGAGTGGAAGACAATGATGTCTGAACCCCTCCCCAATAAAATTCCATGAACGAGGCATGGCAATAGTGAGATAAAAGTCTCATCTGGGAGGACCCTTCACTAGGTCTGGAAAGGGTAGCACATTACAGAAAATAATTCTAGGCAGATTCTAAAGCTGGGAGAAATAAAAAAATATTTTTTAAATGCCAGAGACTCTCCTTCCTTTGATGGAAACCTTTAACACTGGCATCAAGTTCATCTCTCAGGGATCTTCACACATTGCAGTAGAAGCTACTACATGCTAACCAGAATGTTTAGCATTCATCCACTTCTAAACATGCAAGGCTGTTCCTAGTTTCTCTGTATGCTTTTATGCCTCATGAACACTCATGGAAACACTCATCAGGGAGTCTAAAACAACTGCAGCTCCCTATGTGTATTTCCACTGCATATGTGCATGAAACGAGACAAGCCCACAACTCAGAGTTAGACGGCAGGTGTAGATCTTTACTATCTACCCACTTCTGCTGCAAAAATGTGAAGAGTCCATGCTCTTGACAGGCTAAGTAGATCCAACTTCCAGGGTCCCACTGTTACATTTACTTCCTGGAATCCAAGATTCCCCTAAGTCATCTAAGCACTTGTTCAGATGCCTGCCTGACTGTTGGTTTCATCGAGACACAGGCAGGCAACTGGAATGCATTCCCCGCCTTTAAGGAGGAGGCTGAGCATCAATACCGCCATTCCCAAACAGTCCTCGACACTCACCTGTCTGCCCTACATTCATCATGCTGTACATCGTGTACATGTTGCAGATCTGTCGGTACTGCTCATCAGAGCCCTCCTCAGGAGCATCTTCCTCTTCATCTTCCTCATTGTGGTAGGAACTGGGGCTGTCACTGGTATAGGCACTGGAGGTGCCAGGGCTCGTCTGGTCTGAAGTACTGGGACCGCTGACCACGCCAGCCCCTCCGCTGCCTCCTGTTAACGCCCCTTGCTGCTGGGCCGCCTGCTGCTGCTGCTGCTGCTGCTGGACCTGCTGCTGGGTCTGCCGGTTGCTGCCACTGAGCTCCTGCTGAGAGGAGATCTTGGCCATTTTGCGGCTGCCATTACCGCCGCCGCCACCACCTCCTCCGCCTTCTTTCTGGCTGCTTTCCCAGAGCCGCTTAACCACAAATGTGCACTGGACAGAGTCCGAGTCCTGCTGCTCCGTCTTTACACGAGAAACCAGAGGCAAAGGGGTGTTGCCAGAGGGCCAGGTAGACGTCTGTGCCACAGGGCTCTGTGGTTCCGATGAAGGCGCCTCTTCAGTGTGCAAGCCTTGGGAGTCACAGCTAGGTGAGCTGACCTTCAGGAAGAACTCAGTCCCCTTCTCCATAATCTCCTGGATCTGCAAGAACCCGGCTGTGTACATTAGTAGAAACTGGTCGCCCACGTTCATGCTGAGGCGGCCAGTGTAGCAGAAGCTGAGGATCTGCTGGAAGGACTGAGGTTGCACAGCAGCAGGAAGCTCCACCACTGTGCTCTTGCTGTTGTTGAAAAGGTCCCGGAAGTAGCAGCTGCTGGCGGCCAGCACAGCCCGGTGCGCCTTGAAAGCATGGCCTTTCACTACCACTGAGACATCACAGTACAGGCCCTGCAACCGCTGCTCATTCAGGCACTCCAGGATGCTGTTACCAAAGTTGGGGATCTCCATCTGGAGAATCTGAGCCATCCTTTCCTTCTCCTTCTCGCTTGGATGGGTGCACTAGAAAGGGAATAAGGAGCCAGATAGATTGCATATGGGACCAACATGGAAGGACACAAAGAGAGCCAGCAAGAGGAAATGAAGAGAGAGGGAGGGGAAGAGAAGGTCAGGCATCTCCTTTTACTGCCTGGTTGGTCCTCTCTTGTGCCATCAGGAGCAGAAAAGGTGACCATGAAAGGCAGTGGAGAGAACAGATATGCTATCCACCCAATCAAGTATTTTCCATGCTATTTCTAGAAATGGTGACTTTATTATATAATAGTAATAGTAATAGTAGATAATTTAAAGCATTTTATGACTTTCTCTGCCAGTTTTCAGCAGGCAAAGGTTTTGCAACACAAGCTTGAACCTGGGCTAGTTTACCCATTAGGGCACAAAGTACATCAAGCTGAAGCACAGGCTGTATTAGAATTACCTTTCTGCTGAGAATGGGACTACCTGGAAACTCGTGCCTGGGTTCATTTCCCCACGGCTTGGGACATGGCTACATGCACAGGTGTACAACAAGGCTTACAGTGGGCACATTCCCTGTTGTGAATTAGAGCTAACACTATAAATAGGCCAGGCATAAATCATAAGGTGTAAGTAGGGTAGAATGCAGGCACTGGAAAAACTGCTACTTCCAAAATGGATATCTGAAGCACAACACAGTTCTAAGAAAAAAGCAGAACACATTAATTATATACTATTTAGATACTGCTTTTGTGGGTCTTTTTAACTAGAAAGGGTTTTGTTTTTTTTTTTTTAAAGTAGGGAATATAGAAAGAAGGTAAAATATCCACATTAGCATGCATGTACTTGTGAGTGAAATAGAAACCAGGGCAATGTCTTGAAGACTGTGAAGCTACTTTTAATACAAGGGGAATAATGCTTAGCTGGCAACTTCTGTTTGTAACAACACTATGTCAAAATTTGGGAATAGCAAAGTACATTTTCTAAGCATTTAAGTTTTCTTATTTGCCAGGTCACACATGCAGGGGAGGAAGTCTGGAATATGGGTCAACAAGCTGCAAGAGCTCAGGGAAAGGTTTCTCACCTAACTGCCTCCCCCCACCCCCAAACTTCTATCTTTTAAACAAATGCTGAATTGCTTCCCCTGACCATCTTGTCCAGTGGAAGAAAATCTCTGCATTATTTTAAGCATTTCTCAAGTTTGTTCTTAAGTTTCTACAGCTGTAACTCCATCAAGTACAAGAAACCTGCCCCTCTGGGAGGGCAAATCAGCAGAGCTTTCATTTTTAATCTAGAGAGATAAAAGGTCTCAGTTCTCAGTAATTCATTGTGATGGAACTTTTGGTCTTGGAAGAACACAAAGATCATTGCATTCAGCTTCCCGCATCAAATCAAGACTTTCTAAATCCAGTGGAGGTGATGACGACAATGACGATGATGATGATGATGAGTATTGCATTTCTAAACTGCCTCAAAGCCAAAACTCCCTGGATCCACCTACATCCTTTGCCTCAGGTGGCAATAGCTTTTATTGCTGTTTCTCCTTTCTGTATATTGCTGTTTTTATTATTTGATTCCTGCAAATTATGTTAACCTACCTGAAGAAAAGTGGTGCACAAATATTGCAGATAAATAGCTGAATTAAATAAAGGGGCCCCATTAGATGTGTCTGCAAGGAGATAAGTTCAGTCAGGATGGTTTCAGTAGCTGCCACATGTGGACATATCCTTTCATGGTCCTGTAGGGTAGAATATCCACTATGCCATTCTTGGCTTGCCAGTATCATTCCACAGCTGTCACTTGGCTTGACACAGGACTTCTTCCCCATTGGAATGCCATAAATGAACAACTCAATCATAAAGAAACATAAACTGTGGTGGCGGGGGGGGGGGGAGTGCAAGAAAAAGTAGTAATTCACACATGCAAGAAAAAGTAGTAATTGTGTGTGAAAGAAAGAACTGCCAATAGCCTAGCCTTGCGCACCATGTGTGTAAATGTTCACATTGCATGAGAGAGAGAGAGAGAGACAGAGAGAGAGAGAGAGAGAGAGACAGAGAGAGAGAGAGAGAGAGATTTAACGGATGAGAGAGTCATATATGCTAGAAGAGAGTGACAAAAATGCTGCTACAGCAAAAAGAGGCAATCTACTGTCTTTTGCACATGCTAATCCTTTTATCACTCTGTGGCTATTACCAATCATGCAGGACACCACATGCAGGGCATTTCTGCTGCCTGATTCACCCCCTTTTCTTTTTGCTAAACTTATGTTGATAAGCTTCAGCAATTAACTGTCCTGTAGGGACATCACAATGCGATGTGAAATTTCCAAGCTGATTTCTCAGACATTTCTCTTGATATTATCAAGCACTGCAGGGATTATGGAAAAGTGACAAGATTCAAATATGCCCTTTATTAGTCCAGGAAAGGTTCTGGAGGTGGGGGAGGTGGCAGATCAGTGCTTGTGCTGAAACAAGCATACGAAATAGGAGACTGGAAGCCTTTTTATTTGAAAAAAAAAGTGTTTTGGTAAACAGCCACACTGATCTGTAAGCACAATGAAGCTCTCTGACTGTCAGGTCTCCAAAGGCATAGAACCTGGTAAGAGCATGGCTCTTGCCCTCCAACAACACATGGAGCTCTGAATCATGGCTATTGTCTGTTTAAGACAAACAGCATGTGTGTTAAGAGATAAGAAAGGCCATGCATTTAAATGCTAAAATCAGGCAAAACAGTCCTGTGCTTTTTATTCCATTACACTTGCCAACTGTGGGGTGCGGGGAGTTAATGCTGAGCCTTAACAAAAAATAAAAAAGGAAGGTCAATTTTTAGGAAGGAGAAGAGGCATTGTGCTGTGCCAGGAATCAGATTTTCAAATGTGTCTGTCCAAAACATACTGAGGGGAGATATTACTGTGAGAAGCCTACATGAGGCAGGAGAGACGAAGCACAAACGATGGACTCTGGGAATGCAGTACTGTGGCACATACTTTTTAAAATCCCCATTTATCAAAAGGCTAGGTGTGAAACAATGTCTGAAATGTCATTGGGAGATGGTTTGAGCAGGACAATGCAGCCAGACAATTACATTTTAGCTCCCATGCAGTGTTATCTGTGTCAATTCAGCATGTGGTGCTAGATCTGACTGAGATCTCTGGCCCATATCTCAGTTTTCATTAGCAGAAACAACATCTTGTCCTCCATTGCAGTAGAGCAGGAAAGAATTGAAATCTTGCAGTTTTCTGTAGAGTAGCACTGAAAAAATCTTCAGTGTAAATCCTCTCAGAGGAGGAGGGAAGAGAAGGAGGCAATACTTCATTGAGGCCAGTATGAAATCAAAAGCATGGCCCTTGCTTAAAGTCTGTGCTTAAAACTTGGATTGATAGTCATCATTTGTAAGGATTTTGGGATGGTGATTTGAGATTAGAGGTACCCGGCCACACCATGAACGCATACTTTACAAATATCCACTTTCTTGGGAGTTTTTCTTAAAGTAAATTGTATGTGAACTTTCATTTCAATTACTGGAATTAAAAAGATCACCCATACAAATTTTGGTGTTAATTCACCAAATCCTAAAATGGTTGATTCATCTAAAGCTATCATGACTAAGGGACATGGTCGATAGGGACTGAAGATCCAGAATGGGGCCCAATGCAATCCTATTTTCCCTCTCCCTTTACCTGACACATGCTCAGAAAAAGCAAACAGACATGAATAGTGTACCAATACGCATGTCTACTCAGACATTAAGTCTCACTGAGTTTAACAGTACTTAAGCTCACCTACATGTGTATAGGACTGCATAAACGGAAGTCTGTGCATGAAAGAAAGCTAGATGGGAATATAGTGGCACACACAGGCCTTTCAGTCACCCAAATATCCCTGTGCTTGTATGCACGCCAATACACTCATATACAGGAGGGAAAGGCAAAAAACAGGCTCCACCGAACCCTATCAGGATAATCTATGGTATGAGTAGATCATTGCCCCATGAATGTTCTGGTTTCTGATCTTCTCCACCACTACTGCAAATAAATGAGCTACCTTAATACTTCCTAGCCTGCCTGGAAAGTGGTCTGAATGTTAGTATATTATGTTTCACTAAAAAGCCATTATTTAAATATGATATGGCCGAAAAGGAACAAATGAGTTGTTTTAATAGCATTCTGAAGCAGCTATCAACAGCACGGTGAAGTCTAAAATATTCAAGACTGTTATCCAAAGCATACTTGTGTCCAAACAAATGTATTTAGAACTGGGGTATGAGTTACCCATTGACAGGAAAAAAAAACCTTCAGAGAATGCATTTTCTATTTTGAGAAGTATGTTAGATTCCCCCCATCCCCCCACTTTGTTTCCTTATTGTAACACACTCTCATTTACTGGTAGAACTGTGTTGTTAACCCTTTAGTGAAAACAGGAGATAGCACTTGTTGCTACAACAGGTCCAACAAGTTAGAATCAAAAAGGCAGCAGAAAGAGTGGACTGGGAAGACTCCCTAGTGGTGGTGACCTGCAGTGTCTGTGCAGAGTTTGCTTTCTTGCCGGAGGGCAACATGACCTACACATGCAACAAGTGCCCTGTGTAGTCGCCCTGTCAGGAGAAAAGGAGAGAACACTAGAGCAGTGAGTGTCCACCCTCAAGGCAATTAAAGAAGACGAAGTGGTTTTAGACAGAGTGGTAGAACTGTGACAGCTAAGAGCAGTACAGAAGCGAGAAAGGTACCAGCAAGCTGAGGCAGAAGAGGGGAATCCTGAGGGAAGGGGAAATGAGGAGGAAACTCCCTGGAAAAGAGTGACAGGTGCAGAAGCACTAGCAGGCACCCTGCACCAGTGGAAGCAGCAGAACTATCAAACTGCTTGCAGTTACTCAAGGATGAGACTGGAGGGCAACCTGCTGTGGAAGAACTGCAAGGCGTCCTGGGCAACACTGAACAAGAGGCAAAAGGTCAATCAAGCAGCTGCAATGATGCCAAGGCTTACAAAAACAAGAAGAAAGGAATTTTAGTTGTGGGAGACTCCCTCTTGTGTGGGATGGAAACACATGTA